CTCCTCTCTCCTCTCCTCTCTCATCTCCTCTCCTCTCCTCTCCTCTCCTCTCCTCTCTCCTCTCTCTCCTCTCTCTCTCTCTCTCCTCTCCTCTCCTCTCCTCCTCCCCTCTCCTCTCCTCTCTCCTCTCCTCTCTCCTCTCCTCTCCTCCTCCTCTCTCCTCACACTGTTTCTCAGTCATTCTTTCATCGACGCGCTTGACTTTCACAGTCCACAAGAATTGGCCGAGTTTGTCAAGAAGGTGAAGAATGCGAAGAATGAAACCTTCACAGTGTTGACATCAAACGTCAAACAACTCCTTCGATGACTGCCATATCCACAGGTTGATTCCAATCCCGACCTTTACGACAGGTGAGATTGGCACACTGCTCCTGCATCCTCGTCCCTCTCCTTCTCTTGACGATGTTGATACCATCTCGTGTATTGTCAGATATCAAGATTGGAGGAACAAACCGATCGTGTCAGAGAAGCTGTTGTCAGCTTTCGAGAATGACTTGACCCTCTTGGGAAATAGGTCTAGCAACCGGAATCTAGTCGTTCTGCAAGCTCACTGAATGTCATACTAGATCGTTCCTCTGCCGGACTTGCAGCAAACATCAAGAGCACAAGGAAAGATGCGAAGTACGAGGCAGATGAGAGGCGATGGGGGGACTCGATCAGGAGCATGGGAAAAGAATATTTTCATTCACAGTCTTCATCTAGCAAGATAGCCATGGCCGCGTTGACCTGCGCTCATACAATCATGGGGGAACAATATCGTCAAGAACCACAACTCACATCTCCGTTGCAAACGTTCTACGTCGTCGTTGTGTTGTCATCATCATCATCAGAGTCAGAGGTTCAGCACAAGTCAGGAAAACTCACCAAGAGCTCACGAGCCCGAGTCGCTCCCAGACGCCCTGGAAACCTGAAGGAGACGGAACCAGAATAAGGAGGGAATGAGAGGAAAGGAGAGGAGGGGGGAGAAGAGAAGAAAGAGGAGGGAAGAGGAGGGGAGGGGAGAGGAGGAAGGAGGAGAAGAGGGGAGGAGAAGTCACAGGGAACAGAGCTCGGATATGTTCCTCTCCTCCGCCATATCGACTTCGTAGCTCCCCCACTTGAGCGACTGCAAGGTTGAGGGTCTGCGTCATGCCGTCAGGATCTGCGTCAGAGTTTGACTTCGAGCTCACGTAGGGCTGGAGTCGCTTGCCTGAGAGTGGAAGGTAAGAAGCAAGAAGGAGGGCAAGAGCAAAGATGATGAAGATTAGCAGCTGCTGCTACAGCAACAACAACAACAACAACAACAACAACAACAACAACAACAACAACAACAACAACAACAACAACAACAACAACAACAACAACAACAACAACAACAACAACAACAACAACAACAACAACAACAACAACAACAACAACAACAACAACATGATTGTCTTGAACAAAAGATGAGGTCAGACTGATAGAACAATCAGACTCTGCCGCGGACGTCGACGACAAAAAACAGAGCATAACAAATCATCAAGATGATTTCGGATTCAGCGAACATTCAAACTTACCGGACTATTGAGATTAGACGGACGACCCTTGTAGATAAGGTCGCCTGAAGGGACCTGTGTTGTAGTTAGCAACACAAGAGCAACAAGCTGAAGGTGCATATGTCTTTAGTAAAAAGAAGTCCTTTGACATGCTTCTTTGTTCACGTTGCACTTTCATTTCCAGCCATTCTCTCCTCCTCCCCTCATCATCTTCATCTTCTCCACCATCATCATCTCCATCATCATCATCTCCATCATCATCATCATCATCATCATCATCATCATCATCATCTCCATCATCATCATCATCATCATCATCATCATCATCACCATCATCATCATCATCTCACCGCTCTGACCACAAGGTTCCCGTTGCTCCAGAAGGGATGTAACAAGGTCTTGGAGCACACATCACTCGCGACTAGCACAGGAACTCTCTTACTTTTCCTCTCCATCTGAAGACAGTCGAGTCGTTGTCAACCTGCATCATCAGAGGTTTGAGCTGATGGCCTGACTTGTCGCTGCAGTCGTCACTTACCGGCTCTCCTTCGTCGCAGAGAGAGTCCCAAAGTTTAGGGTCGCTCAAAGAGGAAAACTCGTTGGCCTGTTCGCACAGTGAGAAAAGAGTCGGCAGGGGCTGTGATGCGAGGGGAAGGAGATGTGAAGTGAAGGCAGCATGAGACGTGATGAGATGTCAAGAAGTTAAGATCAAGAAGAAGAGCAAACATGAACCAGAGAGCATGGCAAAACATTAAAGCGACATGTCATATCATGAAAGAAAACCATCATGTTCTAAAACGCCAGATACTATCGACACCTTCTCCTCCACTCACATTATAGCTGGTCTTGTTGGCCTTCCTCAACCATGGACCACCTGTTCCCTTGCTCGTCATATCGGAACTCCTGGCGTCTGCCTGCATTCCCTTCCCCTTGGCGCTAGGCGATTTCACCTCCTCGGATGGGTACTCCTTCCTGACTGAGTTGTGACCTCCTGCTCAGGTTCAGCCAAGGACGAACAACATGTGTGGAAATATAGAGAAAACAACATGATGACTTTGGAATATATGTCAAGAATGCAATATCATCACAGAGATGCTTTAGAAAACCAAAATCATGACAGAGAGCACGTTGAGAAAACAAGGTGATGACCACTAAGATGTAGAAACAAACGACAACATCGCAGAGGGCATGTCGAGGAAACAACATCACAGAGAGCATGTCGAGAAAATAACATGAAGTTGAACGTGGGAGTGAGCAATGTCCACCTTGCGCTGCCCCGTCAGCTTGCGAGTGGTGAGGCCTCCCCTTTATCGCCTGCCCGTGACTGATTCTGACAGACCCGTTGGAGCTTCGGTCGCAATCCACTGCAATCAGGCATCAGCCAGTAGGAGGAGGACAACGACGAGGAGGACGAGGAGGACGAGGAGGACGAGGAGGACGAGGAGGACGAGGAGGACGAGGACGAGGACGAGGACGAGGACCAGGAGGACGAGGACGAGGACCAGGACCAGGACGAGGACAGGAGAAGGAAAGAGGAGGACGAGGACGAGGACGAGGACGAGGAGGAGGAGGAGGAGGAGGACGAGGAGGACGAGGAGGACGAGGAGGACGAGGAGGACGAGGAGGAGGACGAGGAGGCGAAGAAGGACAGGAGGTAGAGGAGGATGAGGTCAACGAGAAGAAGGACGAGGACGAGGACGAAGATGAAGTGAGGAAACGTCAACAAAGATGTAAAGGAGTAGCGGAAACAAGAAGAGAACGAGGGGAAAGGGTTAAGAAGAAAGAGGACGAGGAGGATGAAGACTAAAAGTTTGAATCTCTGGCCAGCCCACTTATTCACTCACCGTCCATGAGATGAGAAGAACAGAATTTGACCCGAAAACTCCCTCCTTCGATGACCATACCCTTGCAGCTCATCTTCAACCTCCCTCCTCCCTCCTCCCTCCTCCCTCCTCTCTCCTCTCTCTTCCATTCCTCTCTCCTCCCTTCCTCCTCCGCCCTCCTCCTCTCTCTTCCATCCTCCCTCCTCTCTCCTTTCTCCTCCCTCCTCCCTTCCTCCTTCGCCCTCCTCCACTCTCTTCCATTCCTTCCTCCTCCCTCTTACCCCCTCCTCCCTCTTCCATCGCAGTCCTTCAGACGCCCTACCATCCTTGTCTTCCAACATCCTCTCTTATCCCGAACCTCCCGCTCTTCCCCTCCTCTTCTCACCTTGTACACGCCGTTGCCCCTAGTCCCTGCGCTGATGTCGCTCCCGTCCACGAAGACAAACCGGAGGAAAGAAACCTCCCGGTGCTTCTTCCACAAGTGAATCTCGTGAATCTGACGCGCGATGGATGGTAGTTAGAACCACGAGGAAGGGAGCAAGAGAGACGAGGCGCGGACACAAGAACAAACATTCTCATTTCTACTCCTCCTTCCTCTAATTATCATCAACACCACCGCCGCCAACACCACCACCAACACCATCATTATCATCATCATCATCATCATCATCATCATCTCCACTATCATTATCTCCATCATCCTTGTCACTACATTCACCACCACCACAGCATCCTCCTCCCCTCCACATTCAGCTGCCCGATCACCTTCTTGTTCGCCGCCCACGCTTGCGATCGGCTCTTGTCAAACTCGCAACCGAAGAATTCGCCATTGACCTCCAGGCTCTCCACCTTGTTCCCGGCGAGCATCGAGATCGACCGGCAGTCTTCACCTCCCACTATCCGTACGTTCACCTGCTCCGAGACTCCCCGTGTGATGTTCGAAACTGCGTTGCGCACCAGCCCCGAGACCTGCGACCTCCCTCAGCTCCGCCCCTCCTCCCTCCCTTTCCCCTTCAGCTCTGCCTCCCATTTCTTTCATTCCCCTTCAGCTCCGCTCCCCCTCCCCACCTCCTCCCGCTCTGCTCCCCACCTGACTTCCGAACTGCAGGACTTGCCATCGCTGCTCTAGCAGGGGAGCAACGCTCTCCTCCACCTTGTCAGTCACCTGACGCACCATCCCGTCACATCGTCCGCACGAACGCGCTCCTCCTCCTCTTCGCAACTCTCTGCACACCCTTCCGCTGTCCTCCTACCCTCACCTGACTGGCAGCGGCAGCGAAGTTTTCTTGAGCCTTCGCTACGACATCTTGCGCCGTCTCCTTGAGCTCCTCTGAAATGATCGACAGGTCAGACGCGGGAACAAAAGTCCAGCAGTTGCCCACCTACGCTCTTCACTGCATTCTTAGCCAGCATCAGGGGGTTCTGTCTCTTTGCAGAAGCTTTCAGGCTCTCCTGAAGAGATTTCTTGGCTGCAAAAGAGAATTCAAATAGTGATCCCTATATGCCTGACAAAGAACAAACAAGACAAGAAAACAATGCAGCGATATGTGCTTTTCTTCCAACCTACTCCTCACCATCACCATCACCATCACTCTACCGATCTCGACCGTTATTCACAATTTGGCAATCATCAATTTCCTCAAAATCAACAACAACATAGTAATCGTCGTCGTCGTCAGCAGCAGCAACAACAGCTTCTAATTGCAATCACCTTTGACAAGCTCCTCAAACTCCAACTTGGCTCGAATCCCCTGCACCACATCGGTGAACCATCCTCCTCCACAAGTTCATCCTGGCGACCTCGGCATTCAGGTCCGGGCCTCGGACCAGCTCGACCTCGAACTCCGACATGTTGACTTGCGCCGGCTGCTCCTCCTCCTGCCGTGCTCTCTTCTTCTTCTCCGCCTTCTTCTTCGGGGAGGAAGGAGCCCAAGGGTAGGCGCGCGCGACCATGAGCTTGACGCGACTCCATGGCGAACCTTCGAGCATCTGAAGAAGGGAAGAAGCAGGAAAGATGAGTCAGTAGAGAAAAAGATGACGAGGAGACTAGACATAGAATGACATGAAATGACATGACATGCAAAAAGAACAATAAATCCATGACAAGTTGTCAAATCTGGTTGACATTGAAACAAGTGATCCAACCCTCATTCCGGTTTTCCTTTCCCTCCTCGCCCTACTCTCCCCTCTTCTTCCCTCCTCCCCCCTTGCCCCTCCCCCCTCCTCCTCCCCTCCTCCTCCCCTCCTTTCATAACCTGCACGATGCTCTCTAGCGGGACGACGTCGTTGATGACATCGCAGTCGTCAATCTGCAGATTTTCCTTCAAATTCCACATCTCTGCATGAAAACCAGCGCACACACCATCATGATCTGATCTCCTTCCATCAAACTCGTCGAGCACGCCGCAGGGCTCCCCTGCCATGAAGTCACTCTAGCACGGGCACTGCCCAGGGACTCACCTCTCGAATACGGACGATCATCGGAATCCCTGCCAGGAACGTCAGCACTGAGCAGCAGCACCACTGCAGTCGCCAGTCGACCTCCGACAAGGTCCACCTCCACCCCGACGTCGAACCTGTACCGCTGCTCCGCTTGCTCCAAGTCTCTCATGAACGTGTGCATTGGCAGGTTGGGAGCATAGCTCTTCCTCACCACAGAGACTCTCTCCACCTTCTCGTCGTACCTCACCTCCACCTCCACCACGCTCCCAACAGGCCCGATCAGCAACGACGCATCCTCCATCTTCGTTACCCTCTCCCCGTCTATGCTAACCAGCACGTCCCCTGCCGCCAGCCTCCCGGACAGAGCGGCTGCGCTGTCCGTCCGGATGTGGGCGATGAAGATGTTGCCTGATAGAGGGTCGTGCCCGAGGCTGCAGCCGATCCCAACCTCCGCCATGCTCTCCGCGTCCGCCGAGTTCGACTTATCATGGAGGATCAGTGCCTCAGTCCTCGCCCGCAGCGACGCCTCCTTGTACACCAGGTTGCGCCTCCTCAGAGCCAGCAGGACAGGAGAGCGCCCGAAGGAGCGATGACGCTTCACAGGCTTGGAGTAGAGAGGCTGGACGCCGACCTTGCCCTCCCCATCCTCGACCGACTGCTCCTCCATGTCTCCGAAGACCAGCACCGTGTTGTGAGACGGGCAGACGGCTCTCTGTCCTCCCTGGTAGGCCTGCTCTATCAGCATGCAGATCTCAGGGTCGTACTCCTGCCAACTGCCGTCGAGAAGCTGCCACGACCATGTCCACGACGGGAGAGGCTGCGGAGGAGGAGGTCTATCTACCAGGGTTGAGGCTGGTACGCTATCTTCAATTGCTTCGTTTGCTCCTTTCTGTTCGGGCAGACTTGACGCAAGGGAGGTCGATGATTGTTCTCCCAACGAGCCCAAGTCACTCTCGGAGAGATCGGGCTTCTCCTGCCTTTGCCTTCAAAACCAAACCATGTAAGTAGGTTGGAGCAAGGGGAGTTTGCGATATCTTACAGCAGCATGCGCATTCGCTCAATCTCTCTGCGAAGACGCTCATTCTCGGCTTCGAGGCTCTCCTTGTCCCGTTCAGAGCTCATCGTCGCACTCCCATCATAGAGGTCGGACACGCATCTGGAAGGTATCTCAATCACGATCGGAGAAAGGGAGAGGAGAGGTCAGAGACTCTGTCAACAATTGCGTCGTCTCTCTCCATCCTCTGCCTGCCTGCCTGCCTGCCTGCCTGCCTGCCCGATCATGCTTGCTGCTAACCTGACCGCCTGTCTCTCTCCTCCTCCCCTCCCTCCTCCGCTGCTTCCACAAAACCACCATGAATGACTCACAAAGTCTGACATCCATGCACCCCCTTGTTGAGGTAGAAGTAAGGTGGGGGTAGTGACCACTACCCTACATTATTCATCAATGTTTACGAGATATCACCCGGTGTGTGAAGGATAGAGAGGGTACATGTTGAAGCAATGTTTGCACTTTCGAGGGGTGGGGTATTCTCAATGCATCCCGATGGCGCGAGGGAACATGGAGGACGAAGCAAATCAGCAGGAGCAGCAGGAGCAGCAGGATCAGCAGGATCAGCAGGAGCAGCAGGAGCAGCAGGAGCAGCAGGAGCAGCAGGAGCAGCAGGAGCAGCAGGAGCAGCAGGAGCAGCAGGAGCAGCAGGAACAGGAACACATATAGATTTGGGGACATGTTTTGAGTGTGAGTAGGATGAATGTTATCTTGAACCACAGAAAGTCTTGGTTCAGGTTTGACTAGTTCCCCAGACTAACTTCATTCATCCCAGCGATCATGGTCAACTTGGCCGATGGATGAGAGCCCGGGGACATGTATAGAATGACAAGCCTTCGCTCTTCTTGAAGAGACCTGGCGCCGCCATGGGGATCAGAAAACGCCTGCTCTACGCGTCCGACAGGTTTGTGGTCGGGAGCACAGAGCTTTGCAAGGCACTGGTCAGAGAGAACTTTCGACTAGGACAGCAGATTGTCCTCGCTTTCTCTGCAGGTGCAAACACCAGCATGGCGATCTCTCTTGACGTGTGTGCAGCATTGATGCAGGTGGTGAACAACGACAGGTACTATGCAGCTCGAAGGAACAGGATCAGGTCGGGGCCCTCTGCGCAATCGAGGGATCACAAGAGCAAGAGAGGTGGGTGGAGGGAGGGATGCGGCTGATCTGAACCCTTGACGTGCAGTGTCGGGGTTTGCATCCCTTTTCATCGATGAGACGGCAAAGAACGGGTCCAAAGGTCTCGCTCCTGATCGCTTCTCCCCTTTCACTGACAAGAGCTCGGCACTGTAGGGTCCAAGGTTGCGTTCGACAGGTGACTGAACGCTCCTGCTCCTCCCTTCCTGCACGCTGCTCACGCCTCCTCTGCAGCTACGTGCAGTCCAACGAGTCGGGGAGGCAGAGCGCAGAGAAGAGCAGGATGTTTGATAGTGTGTCGGAGACATCGGTGGGGACGGAGATGCACCCGCTGCCAAGGAGGCTCTTCGGGCTGCTGCGGGTATGGAGGGAGTGAAGACGTACAAGGTCTGTGCCCTCTGACCTCCTGGCAGGACCTCGTATACTGGGTAGTCGACCGCATCGTCAGCATGCTGCATCTGGCGCTGATGTGGCTCCCTGGGATGGGGTCAAGAGCTCAACGGCTTGCTCGACTGCTGGGACAAAGCGAAGAAAGCTCTGCCAAGTTGTCTCGAGGAGGAGGGGGAGGGGGAGGGGGGGGGGCATGGAGGGAGGAGGGAAAGGAGATGGGGAGAAGCAGGGTGGCGAGAGAGGAGGAGGAGGAGGAGATCTTAACAAGTGGGAGCAGGGAGGTGGAGTTGGACCACGAGGTCTCCACCGGCCTGCTGGAGGACGTTCAGCTCAGGATTCATCTCACCCTCGAGTGGATCTGCTGGATGATCCGCAGGTGACGTAGAGGAGCCGCCGCAGGCCCGCCGGGTCTGACGTGAGCCGGCCAGGTTCCTGCATTCAGTGCTCGGGTCGAGGGACTACAACAGGCAGATTCGGGAGGAGGACGAGCTGACGTACAGGTCAGCAACAGCAGGGCTCCTGCTGAGGGAGATTGAAGGATAACGGCGCGAGCAGGAAAGAACTGTCGTCCTCCACCTTGTCCTTGAGAAAGTTTCGTGCCCACACACCTCGAAGGGAGCACAATTTCTCAGCTGCTGTCATGAGAGTCGGTGACGAGTCTTGTTGTGCGGAACTGGCTCGTGGCTGATGCGGGGATGAAGGCTATCCCTTCCAACAGATCATCCTGGACACGGCCGATGGTTATCGATTGGAGCTTCATCGCCTCCCTCGGCATAACTCCGACAAGGTGGGATGACTTGCATGAGGGCGAGCTGATCTTGGTTGCCCTCAGGTCATGTTCTTGCAACATGGCATCATGGACTCGAGCTACAGGTCCTCTTGCCGCTCTTCTTTCTCCCCCTCGTCTCCTCGCACTGCTTCCTCGTCTCAACTGCCTCTTCTGCAGCTTCGTGGCCCGTGGAGCTTCAGACGGTCTTGCATTCCGTGCCTTCGACAAAGGCTACGATGTCTTCATGGGCAACTTCAGGTTGTCCTGGATGATGAGAGAGTGAAGGATGGAAGAGGAGAAAGGGGGGGGAGGAGAAGGTGTGGGGGGGCCCAGGAGCAGGAGCAGGAGCAGGAGCAGGAGCAGGAGCAGGAGCAGGAGGATTTGACCTCTTGGCAGGGGCACGTCCAGCTTGAAGCATGCGTCTGAAGACATCTCTGCGTGTGATTACTGGTGATGCGCTCTCCTTCCTGATCTCTTGGGTGTCTTG